ACAATCATTTCGAATCTAGTGGTACCGGGTTTTGAGTTTCAATCTTTAAATATAAAAAAGGCATTTTCTTTTGAATTCTAGGAGGAGGGAATTTGCCATAAAAGTTTATGATCTCTCCTCGAGAGTCTTTATCAGTGGAAATTTAGAGCTGTAGTGTCCAGCAGTGTGGGGCTGGTTGTTCCCTCTCGGTGCAGGAGATAATTCTTCTCATATGTTTCAAACTACAAGAGAGATCTGTGGTCTGTTTACTTTCTAAAGTAAGTAGCTCTTACTATTGTTTTTCTAAAGAAAATAGCTCTTACAGTGGACATTGATTACACATGGCTGATCATATACGTTCTCGAAAACTATAGGTGTTTATAAACTATTCTCCATCCTTGGTTAAAATCACAATGATTTATACAAATAAAGGCCACAGCATTTATTCCTTTCAAATACACTACACAGACGAGTTGTAGGTGAGTGCAGGAGACTGAGGAAGCAATTACAAATTAGTTGCTATGGTTTCCCTAGGTACTGCCTTGGACTTGCTGATCTGTGATCCTAAAGTCTGGGCTGCTCTTTCTTCTGCTTTGTCAGGATTTGTGTTTTATTTTGTTCTTAGGAGGTTCTTGAAGAACCCATTACCGGAGTGTGGATCCGCACAACTGTGCAAACAAAGGCGAGGGATGGGCTTAGTATGCCTCCTAAAAACACCTCCAAGTTGCTGACCTGGCAGAGGGCCTTGCTCTGCAGTCAGGGCTGCGCAGGTTCTGGTGTGGTGAACTCCCCTGTTGGAGCGGGGTTGTGCGGGCTTACGTTTGTTAATTCTCCTGCTTCAACAGCTTTTCCACTTAAAAATCCAAATTGTGTCTGGACTGGCTATGAACCCTGCTCTTGGTGCAGAGGAGCACAGCTCTGCAGTACACGATGGGGCTCACCTGCATTTGTAACAGACTGCGGAGTGGAAGCGCACCCTGTGACAGGAGATTCGGTGGCTTTGTTACTGCTGTCGTCTGCTTCCCTGTGTTCCTCCTTTGGAAATACAGAATTGTCTCTCTTGCTGTGGATGAGCTGGTTTTCACCAGGGGTTGGGGGAAGGGGAAGGTGGGAGGAAGGTGTTAAAATTCAGTCTTTAATATTAATTTCTAATATGAAGAGTCAGTTTGACATAGCAGGTGGCTAATACCCCTTACAGCCAAGCACAGTCAGTGCTCGTCATTTGAAATCCTTTTCTGCTAATATGTCTCCCAGTTTTTAATCAAGCCGAAAAACGTTACTTTAATCCTCCATGTTTTATTTTCTTCTGTAGGTTGACAATTCAATATCTCGAGGTAGAGGTTAAAGCAGTTACTGCTTCTCTCATGAAGCCTCCCCCTGTCACTTCTGTCTTGTGCTCTTGGAAGCTGCCACATGGATTGGACTGAGGAGGGGGAAAAGTGTAATTATGCCCAGGTGCATTTGGTTACATCACTTTTTCTTTCCCTTGAACAGATCTTGATTCAGTAGTGAATTTAGCTATAGATGTTATCAAGTACAGTACACACTAAAGCCTAAATAAAATGGTACGTAGAAATAAGGCACAACTGGCATTTGTGGGAAGCAGTGGTGTGCAGCTGTTGAAAATGAGACAACTCCCATCGTTATATTTTGGCTTCAGATGGTGTTTTAGAGGACTTAGATTTTATTTCTCGTCGTTCCATTTAACATGCAGGATAATTATTTCCTCTGTGTAGATGTTTGTTGTAGCTGGCATTTCAAAGAATCTAGTTGATGTTTCCTTAAGTTCCTTTTCCCGTTGTTGTTAATTACCAGTCATAGAAAACAGGCAACATCAAAGCCTTCTGTTCACCACCCACTTGAAACTGTGAATGTGTGAATGCACAATAGGCTTGTGCTAATTTCATGTTCTTTTTTAAAGCATGAAAGTGCAATTATTTTCTTTCTAAAGGTGTTTTTAAAACAAAGACATTTTTCCATTCTAATGATTTTTGCATTGAATATACAGCTGGGAATCAGCTCAGCAGGTGGCAAGTGAAATAGTAGAAGGGAAGGATCTTTTATTGTTCTAGCTGCAAAACAGCAAAAATATAGATATGCATATCACAAAAATATGCTGCTGTAGCTGCTACAGCTGGCTTTTGCTTTAAGCTGAAGTAGTGCTAGAGGCTGTGTCTTCTTAGATGCTTAGGAGGGCTAACTTTTAAATTTTTATGTTCATACATTTATGTTGATACATTTATATTTTAGAAAATTAAGTTGGGATTTGGGAAAGAACAGGAGGGAAGCAAGTCCAGAGGGCAGCTCCCAGTCCCCTGCGCACGCAGCATCCACATCCACTGCAATCTTTTCCAGCCCGGCCTGCTCTGTTTGAGTGACCGATTGCAGTATTTTGCACAGTGCAGTGTTCCTCTGCCGCCAGCCAGCCATGTTTGTGCCAGGAGATGGTTTGGGTTTGAGGCGGTGTCATTTAATTTGAGTTAAAGATCAGGAAAACAGGTTCAGGACACATAGCTGTGTGTAGCCGTAGCAGTTTACACTCTTGCCTCTCCCACATGACAGAGCAGTTACTCAGGTACAGGAAAAACTGCTGCATGCACGCTACTGATAACACTTCCTTTTTGTTGGAAAGGAAGGAAAAACTCCCTGCAGGGAGTGTTATGGGGAGGGGAAAAGGTAATTTAGGTATTTGAAATAGTGAATGCCTTGTAATTTCTAACAACAGTCATTTGATGTTTAAACCTTTGTGCTAACAGAAAGCTCGATGAGATAATGGCTTGGTTCAACAAAGTTTGGAGTCAGAATCATGGCTTTAATTATAGTTTGGCTCATGTGCAAGCGACTTCCCTGTCTTCTGGCCTCTGACAGGCCTTGGTCTGTGGCACCCATCCGCTATCAGCGGGGCACAACTGACTGTGCATGATCGAGAGGCATATGAGTAATAGCAAAAATGTTTAGAGAAGAGGATTAAGAGACATCAGCAAGATTGTGTGGGAAGTCCCTACTCTGCTTTATTGCAATGGTTTTGTTTTCTTTCGTAATCTCTTTTTTTTCCTAAATGGTGGGAAGAAATCTGCCCCTCTTGCCTTGGCTGGCTTTGATTGGCCTTCTCTGGTGGAGCACACAGACTGCAGCAACCCTGACGCAGCTTCACTGAGCTGAAATTAAAATTTTGGGTCAAAATTAACTTCCTGTTCTGTACAAAAATAGTGGATACGTTTTGTTTCACAATAATGAGCTGGGAAAAGGGGTGGGGGGGAAGCATCTCCATAATTTCACCTTGCCCAGATCTCTTGGCAGGGTAATACCAAGAGTGAAATGGGTGATGGGGACAGGTCACTTCAGGGCCAGATGATATTTTGCTGAAGTGATCCCCTTACCTTCCTCAAGGACTTGGTAGCGCTTTCTTGGATGTTCCCCTGGTTTGCAGTAAGAGGGGAGGACTGCTAAGCCTGCAAGATTTCTTTTCATCTTTTCAGCCTTCCTAGGACCATTTCAGTCTGTTCCTCTCCAGCGCTAATGGTGAATTGGATATGATCTGGCCCTTGGTCTGCTTCCCTCGCTGAGGTGTATGGGTTGGGTTTGCCTTGTGAGCTCCATCTTGATATGAAGAGGCAGGGGCAGATGCTGGGCTTCCAGCAAGATTGAGGTTCCTGGTTTGTTTTCCAAAAAGAGAAACCCCTCACACGCTGGGTTTCTGCAGGATGAGAGAGGCTGTGACGGGCTGGAGCAGGAGGCACCGAGATCTGAGTGGGTCTGAACTCAAACCCTTCTGCATTGCAGCTGTGGTTCATTCTGGTTTTATAGGAAAGCTGCTGGGTTATTGTTTGATCTCTATATGCATTCTATAATAAAATTCTATTTCTTCCTTTCCTGCAATTTGAGTTCAGGGAGAGCAGAATTTGGGACTTGATAGTGTAAGCACAGCTGATGAATCTGCATGTGAATACAGTTTTGTTCCTTGGTGGCCTTTTTTTCCCCAGTCTGCTTTCTATTATTTAATGATGATAAATGTCCCTTAAAGTCAGGGGCTTTTTCATTCTAATGATAAAAGGAACTTCTCTGCTGATATTTTTGCATTTATGAAGAAGCTGTATTTTGCAGATGTGGCCATTGTGAATTCCAGCTGGTAACTACGAATGTTTCTTTTTCTGCCCGTACACATTATTGGTCTTCTATGAGCAGTAAATATCCATCTACATATAAAGATGTTTTAAATTGTTCAAGATGTGCTGTGCAAGTTAAGTAGCTTCCAAGCTGAGTGAAAATGCCTATAGATGAAACGGCTTGCAGACATTCATACAGCTTCCCCCACAGGATTCCACTAACGCTCAGTTACTTTAATTGTTTAAAAATTAATTTTGATTATGAAAACAATTGTATAGAGGCCATTTGCTATAGAGAAAACAGTAATAAACCACTATTTATAGAATTTTTGCATCAGGAACCAGCATAGGTTAAGGTAGAATTATTAAAGAAGTTCGTTTTTAACAATGCTGTTCAGTCACCACTGGAGATTTGTTATTTGGACTCCCTGTGCAAAGGAACAAACTACAAAGTTCAGGTGCTCATCAAAAGGCATTAACAGCCATTTTAGTAATAGACATTACTCCTCCTGTTCCCCTCAGCCTCCTTTTCCAGCCGAAAGCCTAAAACCATCGTGGTCTCTGTAAGTACAAATGAAAGTAATTTGTCTGCACTGTGTCTGCTCACTGCAGAAGGACAACTTCCTAATTGTTAGACAAGAGAGCTTTGATATTGGACTCCACACGTTCATTATCTAAGGATGTTGTTAATTATGCTACATATTGAAAGGAGCGAACATAAGTGCTGAGTGGGGGTTGTAAGAACCCCAGTGAAAAGTAACTGTGATTTTCTACAGGTTTGGTGGAAGTTCCTATTTAAAAGAGTGTGTGTGCAAGCAACTGCAAAGCTTTCACTGCTAATATTGGCCAGACACGAGGGACTCATGTTTTATAGATGGAAACAGGATTGCTAAAGATTGGTATATTTTGTTGCAGATGTGACGAGTATGTCACACAACTGGATGAAATGCAGCGGCAGCTTGCAGCGGCCGAGGACGAGAAGAAGACTCTGAACTCCTTGCTTCGCATGGCTATCCAGCAGAAACTGGCACTGACTCAGCGCCTGGAACATCTGGAGCTGGACCACGAGCAGTCCAAAAGGGTGCGCACAAAATCTGCTTCCAAAGCCAAGAGCAGTAACCCTAGTGTAAGTCATATTCGGTCCTGCGGAGACAGGTCTGAAGGATCTGTCCTTAACAACCAGGTTTTTTGTAGTGAGAAATATAAAATCTATTGTGACTAGGAGAGGTGTGTAGAAAAATCATATTATGCATCTTAATTTTATGCTGTAACTGTCAGCGTAAATCCCCACTATCTAATGTCGCAGTGAGTTGACTTGTACTAGTATGTTGTTGAACCAGGTAATACAAATTGTATTATGGTGGTCTTAACTGTAACTAATTAATAGGTATGGGGATGCTATTAACAGGTTAATAGTGGAAAGGAATTAGCTTTTTCCACAATTAACATGTATGGGTTTGGCTGTTTATGGTAAGTGTTAAGAGAGTACACCTGATATAGTATATCTGGTGCTACTAATTGTAGTTTGTATAGCACAAATGTGATCCTTTCTCCAGGGTTGCAGCATACTTCAATAAATGCTTTTGCAGGCAGAAACAAGCAGAAAACCTTCCTTGTTATTGTGGTTTAAGAAGTGGTGAAAAGCAAATGTTAAAATTAGAAAATGCAGAGCATTTTGAAACTGGAACCAAAATTAATTTGCCTATTATGGCAAATATTAGGAACTTGCTGTCGTATCACCACTGACCAAAGTCCTAAGGCTTTTATAAGCTATAAAAGCTAGAAAAAAACTTGGTAGGGTACATTATTTACACTCTGCTTCCCCCTCTTCAGAGGGTTAACCAGAAGAAACTTGCACATTTATATTAAAAATATGCAATATTTACCCCATCTGATAAAAAACTTAAAATTGTAAGAATTGGGATCCTACCTGGTAGACAGTTCCACTGAAGAAGTTATGCTGTGGAAAAGTGTCGTGTCCTGAAAGGATCTTTGTGGTCTCATCTTGCTCCTTGCAAGCAGAACGCTGCAGAAAAGATCTGTTTTATATATTACTGTAGCCACACAACGTATATGTGTAGAATTAATGTGGCTGTGGTCTAGTATTCTCAGTCACAACAGAGTTTTTCTCAGCTTTCAGTATTAAACTAAATAGGGTAGTATTTCAGAGCTCTGGTCATTTTTTAAATACACGGAAGATATTGCATTCCTTATGCAAGCACATGTTTCACAGGGCTCTACATTAGAGGCACAGGAAATTGAACCAGATCATCCTGCTAATAATTACTTATGAAGTAGCTTAGTATACGTATTAATCTTTAAAAACAAATAGACCTTTGTCTGCTATTGAACTCTTAAGGGGCCTTTTTAGCCACTTAATTACAATATGTTTGATAATACAAAAGTGTACTTCATAATTGGTGCCTACGTAAGAGAAAAAGATTGAAAATGTTGCTTCTAAAATTTGTGGAGCACAACAAGGCACGCTTTTGTCTTTAAACCGGAGTTTCAAAGTGCCTAGCCTCGAACTTTATTTTAATGTAAAGCCCTGTTCATTTTGTACTCTCTCAAATAATTTTATATGCCTGTAGTCTGACTAAAAGCAATGCGCGACTGCACAGTTGTCTGCTTGATAGTGATGTTTTATAAAGCCATTCTAATATTCCTGGTGTGGTTCTGCCTCATCTCACTACCATTTCTTATAGCTGATAGCAGCTTGCTTCCCGTGCATTGCCGCTCTGCCTATAAGTAGTCAGGAGAAATCCCAGTCTGAGGTAATAAGGAGCACAGCTGGTTTTCCCAGCAAGGGGAAACCATGCGGGATTTTGGCTTCCCAGACATTAAAGGGAGGGGAAAGAAAAAATTAAAATTCTAAATTCATACAGTTAGACTTTAAACAAGCGAAATTGTAGAAACCACGCTACTAAGCTGGGAAACATCGGAACGGCACAGTTCAGTGCCAGAATTGCGCTTACCAATACTGAGAGCAGGAGAAAGAACCCCAAGTGATGTAGGTCTGATGTTGCTCAAACAGCACTGCTTGAGGAGATTAAAGCAGCAGCAATTCTGGCTTTAGAAACTGGGCCCTGTGCGTCTGTTATTACTTTTTTTTTTTTTTTTAAGAAAACACGGAATTCTCCTGAATTTGAGCTTTAATATTGCTAAATAGCAGGTTTGATATTTTAGAAACGAGACATTGTGTGACAATTTTCAATCCTGCTTTCTCTTCTTTGCTGCACAATCTTCCAAAAGGCCTTTATTCTTCTTATTCCTGCATTAAGTGTGATTTTACAATACTTTGTAAAAGCAGGCATTTGAGTGCTAACTTTCTTTGCTCCAACAGAAACGGTTACAATTTTGCTTCCACTGTGGTAGGGAGCTTTAATACAGTTTTCACTGCTTCCATGTCTCTAGTGGCAGTATTTTTGCAAAATACTAATGACAAAAAGGTAAATTGGAGAAACTAATTGAACACGTTGAGAGGTTTTTTTTCAAATTATTTCTATATAGAAATTATTTCAGTAATTTCTATAAAAATTTCAGTGTTACCAGACCGTGACTGTCACTGTCAGTCTTGGCTCACACTTTCAGTTCCAAGTCTGAGCAATTTTGCTATTAGCCCAATTGTCTTAGCAGTCATTTCCATCTTTTTTCATTTCTGTGAATCAATAACAAACATAAAAAACCCCAAGAAACCTGACGGCTGTTTGGGCTTGTCGAGGTTATGGTTTAATTTCTTCTAGCACCTGTTATAAAAAGAAATGAGGAATGGTGGTAAGGTGACTTGACCCTGCTCTTTGTATTTTTAGATAATGTTTCAGGTGGAGTCTTGTAATTCTTGATTAACAGTTTCTCGAAACGTACACTTGCTGTCAGTCTTTCGCATCACTTCCAATGGGTTGGGATAAAGCATGGAAAACTCCTTAAGCCGTCACCTACCTCTGCGAGCAGGCTCTTCTGAATGATGCTCTGCGTTGGCCTGCATGATGTACTGACCTGCATGCTTCCGGAGAACCTATAGCTTCACTGAAAAATGTTTCTTGCACATTCATTGCTGTTAACTTGGGCTGGAACAGCAAAGCTTTATTCAGTACTTGTAAGAAACCTTCTTTCTGCAAAGCTATTGCTTCCAGGCTGAACCCTGAAAGCGTTGTTTCGTCAGCTTGGAAAGCATCTGAGCTAAAGTGGCTGCGTCTACCCCAGTGATCTAACAGAGCCCTCAACCAACTAACCTGCTTCTGCAGCACGTTGTTTGCGGTTCTTGAATTGAGAAATAAACGCGCTCTTTCTTTTTTTTTTTTCTAATGCTATTTTATTTTTCCATTTTTCAGCTGTAGAGTAGTCCCTGGAGAAGGCCTTTCCAACAGTGCAACAGCATTTCTTAGCCTCTTTCACTCTGGTTCAAAGTGGTAGCCCATTGCACAAAGAATGGAAACCACTGACCCGATCCTAACCTTTGAAAACCCCTTTTCCTATATATACTACCTGAAACTTCCCTTTTATGTCCGAAGCTATAAAACAAACAAGCTTTACCGATAAGTGCTGCTGCAGTAAGAAAACTTACAAGTGCTGAAGAAACCTACTTCAAACGTTACGATCACCACAGTAGTTCATGATCTGCTAGAAATGTTCGGATGGGGGAACTTCTTAATTCATTGCAGATGCTCATTTTTTTAATCTGATTGTTAAACCTGTGCACTTTTGATATTTTGATATTTTTCTTTAGCTTCTTTAATTCCTTCTGTAGAAGAGTTTATATAAATGCAGTGGTTTGTGCTCATAGTCTCTCTCCAATTTGGGCTCATGATTTTGGAATTCTACATCAGCGTGTGGCAGAGATTTGGGGGGAGCTCTAGATTGTGATTAGAAAAAAGAGTTTCAACAGAAAACAGGAGCTCTGCTACACTGTGTGCTGTGCTTCAGCAGCTTTTTTATTATTATAAAATGTTAAGCTTTATATGTTTAAATTACTGATTTTTTTTTTTAACTGCCATGTTCATTAAGAAATCCAGGGTATTCAAATTCTGGGGTTTTTTTTCATATTGTATTATTATTCTTAGGAATAGTTAAATGTAACAAGAAGAAAACTTGACTTTGCTCTGATTAAAACAGTAATAGGCACTTGAAAAATATTAAATAAGTAGTATTACCTATAAATTCCAGAATTCCTGGGTTTTAGGAAGTTGAAGTATTATTGATTAACAGAATTTTATACAACTATACCAGTTAAATTCCAAATTGGAATTGTTTTGTTACTTTTTCATTTTATTGTGCCAAATTATGGTACATTTAGAAAGAAAAATTCTAAAGTTGTCAAGGATAGGGTGTTATGTATCAGCGCCTTTCTGTCATTAATTATTGCCAGTAGTGCCTTTAATCATTTTAAGGGAGACTCTTAGATAGCTTCGTCGAGGTCCTGTAACTTAAGAGAAGTGGAATGGCTGTTTTGGAATTTAGTCAAGATGTGGAGCAATAAGTGCAAAGTGAACTCCCCTTTTGCACATTTTTAATGGGTAGTCTTACTATAGAGATTATATATTCAAGGAATTGTAAGAAATTCTGTTAGTCAATGATATTTCACCATGCAAATCCTTGCAAATTCAGGGGTATCGAGAGAAAAAAAAAACAACAAACGAACACGACGACAAACCTAAACAAACCCGAATGCGCTTTGGGAACCAAATGGACTCACGTCGAACAAATAAGCGAGATGTATTAACACGTTTGTGGTCACGGGACAGAGGACGTGTCCGGAGTACTGACGTTGCGGTAGCTTTGTACGGTGGTGGACGCAGTTAACCATAGTATTGTTTGCAAATGTGAAGAAGAAGCCAGCGGTGTCTTCTCTTGCATGTTGTGTCTAATCATTGGCGTTTCAGGAAACAGAAACGGAGAAGTGCATCAACAAGCCGTGCCCCAGCGCGCCGCTGCTTGTTGAGGCTGACGCGACCGATTAAATTGGTACTTGCGAGGGGGGAGCCTTCCCACTCCTCAAAAAAAGTACAAATTGAAATAATATTGACGTTTGGAAAAGATTTCTGTTTGCTGGAAAAAAGCATCATTATTCCTAGATGTGGGGACTTATATTTCCATCTTCTGTTACAGTATTGAATCATAAGAAATATTGTTGCATTTAAAATTACTACATTTGTATGTGGGTATTTATTTGAAATGATGTCAAAGTACTGTATTATGTTTTATGTGCATTACCTTTTAGTGGTGGATTGGTCTCCATTTAACGTCATATGCATGTATTCTTGCCAAGTAACCTTTACACAGACCTGAAAAAAAAAAAAAAGAAAACGTGGAAACTTGTTAAAAGTACAACTGTGTGTTGATTGGGTAACCTTAGGAGGCGTAGAGGGCAACATGTTACTTCCAAATTAATAAAAAAGTGTTTGATGTAGGAAAGCAATCTGCCTGCGTAAAGGTAGTCACATTGGCAGTATCAATAAAAGAGAAAAGGAATTGCGTTTTCTGCTTGGTTTTTTTTTTGTGCTTTAAGAAGGCG